TAAAGTCATGACAATAAAATGTTTCACTCAACGATTTGCCTCAAAACTTGCTGCAGTTGTTGATTTTACTTTGTTCAGTCTTCTGGCGAAGTTTCAGCGCGATTTGAGGCCGTTTAGTGGTTTTTTTTCAAAATCCGCTTTTCTCTACATAAATAATTATAGAGGCCGTTTTATAGTAGTCTCCCTCGCACCCGTTTTTAGTGTCGGTCGTCACGCAACGCTCCCCTGACTGTGGGTGAACAAGGGCACTTCCGGTGACATTCCGGGAAACGGAAACTGTGAACTGTTGCGTAAGTTGCTGTAGCAATTTTCTTCCGCTCTTGATTACCACGTTTTCGGTGACAGCGAGAACTGAATCAGTTCACTTTATGACTTTATCATAACTCTCATACGTCCCCTTATAAACCATACACAGGAACCTTGTTTGGGCTGCCTGTGGTTCACCAGCTCACATCTTTCAGCACATCCTTCGAATGGAATGCTAGGTTGTATTTAACATAGATTTAAATAGAGGAAACTCTAGTAATTATGATAAAAACTAGGAGAATGTCTATTTTACCCGAAAAAAAATCTCTTATAATAGTGCTGGGAGTGGGTTTTTTGCATGGTTTTTTTTTTTTGTTGCGAATTTTTCCTGATCATCCAAACTTCAAAGCGGGTTGGTGTTTTGCTTTTTATGGGTTGCCTGTGCGTCAATTTTCTAAGAGAAGCAATCAAAATATAGCCGGTTTCCCTGTAAGCGGACCAGTTGTCCTGCTTTAGAGGCCTCCAATCTTGGAAGAAACGTCGAAGCTGGGATTTCTCGGTAAAAAGCTGAAACTGAAACTGCGCTAATTCTAAAGTGCCCCACACCCGAACTCAATATTTTCATTATCGATTCTAGATAAAGTGAATAGTTAAATGACAAAATATATAGTTCTATATGATATGAGTGATGAATCTTGGCGCTGTATTAAGGTCATGTTAATGTGAGCTATGTGATGTCATAGGACGCATTATATAAAAATTTTCTGGGGCAGCAAAACATTTGATCATATTACATATGCTCATTTGCGCGTTAGAAATTGTTTCCGCAGCTTACTTTACTCCCACAAATCGTATAGTAGAATTTAAATCATTTGATTCGTGTTTATTCGATCTGAAATACAATTCATTGAGTATATAATAGCGCAGCGCGCTGATTCTAAAAATAGCTTAAAAATTCGACAGAACATTGCATTCTGTTTAACCGCTACGAGGATTATACGAACCGATTTTATTATTTTTACTTAAAGTTACAATAATAACCCATGTAAACTAAGATCAACTGCGATCGGCTGTGAAAATTATTTGCTGAAAGTAAACTTGTAAGTTTGTTTGTCCGAATTTCGCCTTTGTCTTCGTTTTTATGACGTCACGGCTGCGCTGCGCTATTCACCTACGTCTTCTCTACAAATTCATCTTTGTTAAAGTGCTTATAAGCCTTTGCACAATATTTTCAGACTTGATTCTTTAGATAGTGGATAGTTGATTGTGAAAATATTTCGTCATTTGAATGGTGGGTCTCGAAGCTCACGTAAAGGTTCTTACAAATTTGTTTTCAAAAAATGTCCAGCGTTCAATATCAAAAGTTGCCACRAAATAACTGAAATCCCTTATGTTACGTCATAGTCATTAACATATTGGAAATATAAACCTTCGTATCTTAAAGACCCAACATTCAAATGACGAAATATTTTCACAATCAAATATTCACTATTTAAAGAATCAATTCTGAAAATATTGTGTAAAGGCTCATAAGCACTTTAAGCTGGCTGCCTACTTGAACGTTCGAATTGAGCCCACGATGAGCGCGCGCTCAAAAACCGCTGAAAAATCTACAAGATTTTATTGAAGACCCATACGCGTTTTGAGCTTCAACAGGGCAAAACCCTCAAATGCACGGGACTCTCTATTTTTTAATAGCTCATTTGAAAAAACTCCTAAAAACCTAGGTTATATAAACATTTTAGAAAACGTTTAAATCAGTAACACATACAAAAATAGATTTTTGCTCGACTTTATGAGATTTTTTAAGAGCACCGAAACTACAAAATATGACAAATCANATTCCAGCAACGAAATGTTTCTTCTATGAAGCATCGGCGGCTCGATTTGGAGGTATTTTGAAAACTGCTAATTCTGAGCCATCTTAAGGGTTAAGTAAAGTTTCAGCTGAATTAAAATTTGGATGATTTTCGTGCTAGTCCCCTGTTAAGTATAAAGGTTTATACTTTCAATATGTTAATGACTGTGATGTCACAGGAGGCATTTGAGTGTATTCSTTGTACCTAGTYATAATAAACCTTYATGCAAGCCAATGAGTAAGATATTGATGCTAGTCTGCATCTCAATGCATTATGGAAAATTCCAGAAGTTTGGAAAGAAAGTGTTGAGCCACTTGGTCCTACTAACAAAATATATTAGCCTCACAGCATTCTCTCCATGAACCACATATTCGGGGAATATCTATTTACGAGATCACAGGATAATCGTGCCAAAATTTCTCAAACATAATGTACAAACTTTTGACTCTTGATGTGCTCTCAGGATTCCCCACCAGCACTCCATGGTTAAAGGTCTAATAATCACTGGTTAAAGTTTTTTTCCGATATTCGAATGGGAAGTATTATGTTTTAACGAATTCGTACGGGAGTCTGTGACGTCATATACTCTAAACATCACTCCATACAAATTATCCACTAGTTTTATACTCAGTCTTGAAGAAAAAAATATCATAAAAGGACCCTAACCACAAGTTATGTACATTAAGTCCCTCAGCGGACCTTTGGGTTAGAGTAAAACATGAAGTTATGTACAAAGAAATGTATGAAGCGATGTTTTACGTCCCATTGGAATATAAAGAAAAAACTTTAACCAGTGATTATTTAAACCCTTAAAGATATCGATTATTCAATTGAAGTTTCAGCC